AGGTGCTGGGCCAGCTTCTTCTTCTTCTTTTCAAAATATATTCTACTTATTTATTTTTAAAATATTTTTATTGATGTTAGAGAGGATGGGAGAGAGAGAGAGAGAGAGAGAGAGAGAGAGAGAGAGAGAGAGACATCAATGATGAGATAGAATCATTGATCAGCTGCGTCCTGCACACCCCCTACTGGGGATCGAACCGTGATCTCCTGGTTCACAGGTTGATGCTCAGCCACTGGGCCATGTCAGCCAGGTTGGGCCCGATTCTTAAAGTGCAGGTTGACTGCCCTACAACAGATCCCATGGGTGGTGGGGATAAGGTATTTTAATTTTCTTGTTTTTCTAGTTTTCTGTATTTTATTTAACATTTGGTAATAGTTAAATAACTAAACAACAAAAATATTGTTAATATAATTTATGTTATCAGCTCTTTTCCTGAACTTCTGCCTTTGTCACATTGCATTTGTTCCTTTATGTAGGGTGTATCTGAACAGGTATATAAGACTAAAAAGGCATAGTGTAGTAATTTGAAATTGGTTTTGTTAAAATAGCTATTTGCCCTTGATTTATTTTTAGTTGTGTCCTCATTTCTTTCAGGAATCTGGTCCATTTTAATCTGTACAAGTGACTTAATCTGTATGAGCCTCAGAGAGGCACTTTGGTGATAATTTGTGTTAAATTGCTCTGAGTGGACAAAAGGTGTCTTAGAAAGTAGTATTGCTCTAATTATAAACCCTTTAAAAATAATCAGAGACTAAATAACAAGAATTCAATCTAATTTCCTGTTGGGCCCCTTCATTAGTCAAGATGAGTGCTTTACACCTTATGAGAGAAGCAGAAGGGATGATGGGCCGACAGCAATGTAAACACTTTTACAGTATTTTCCTGTAGCACAGAGCAGTATTGGGTCAGAAATGATGGAGCTGCAAAGGATATGTCAAATTTCAAGAAGTATTTACTTACTGGTTTGTCCTTAAAGGGACTTTGAAGTACCTCACTGTTTTTAAGTAAATTAATCCAAACTTCATCATCTGTACTAACTAGAATTGAGATGCCACTGAACTTAGAGGGAAGCTTAATGAACTCTCTGTGCTCAGAAATCTTGAATCCCTGTTAGAGGTTTCCCTTATGTCTTCCTTCCCCTTTCTATTTCTTTTTGGAGTTCCAGCTGTGATCCTTATTCTCTTCTTCCCACTGTCATAGAGAACTCTGATACCATTTCACCTTAAACAAACAAACAAACAATCAAACAAACAAACAACATAGCTCAGATAAGAAGTAGGTGGGCAGAGCGGTGCCTCTTACAAGAGTTAAGGATGATTTGAAGGAGAAAAGTTCTGCTGTCTATAAAAATAAATGATTAAAGTTGCTATTTGAGAGTAAGGCATTGTCTCTAGAAAGGCCTTATTAATTATAGGTAAGGATTGATACATTGGCCTATTGTGACTGCTATCATTTCAGCAAGGACAGCTTCCCTATCCAACTCAGCTGTTAACTTAGAATGTTAGACTTTGCTGCTTGAACTTGAGTCTCGGCTTCTCGCCTTCCTCTCTGAACAACATGAGCTTCAGTATCTGCTCTGGTTTCTCCTCAAACTACTAGACATTGGGCTCCTGCAGTCACTCAGCTACTGGGCCAGGCCAGCCAGCAGCGTGGCCAGCATCTATGCAGATACCTGGGGTTTGGGCTCCCAGATCTCTGTGTCCCACTCCACCAACGTGCAGAGTGGTTGGGGATACAGGGACCTGGCTGTGGGGATGGCTGGGGGTCTGTCAGAGACAGGGGGGCATCCAGAGCTAGAAGGAGACCATACAATGCCTGAATGATGGCCTGGCCTCCTTTCTAGAGAGGGTGAGAAGCCTGGAGGCTGATAATTGGAAACTGGAGATCAAAATTCGGGAACACCTGGACAAGAAGGGACCCCATGTTAGAGACTGGGGGCATTATTTCAAGACCATCAAAAACTCAGATCTTTGCAAGTTCTGTGGACAATGCCTCCATCGTTCTACAGACTGACAAGGCCTGCCTTGATGCTGATGACTTCAGGGTCAAGTATGAGACAGAATTAGCCATGCACCAATCTGTAGAGAGTGACATCAATGGGCTCCGAAAGGTCACTGATGACATCAATATCACTCGGCTGCAGCTTCAGACAGAGATCAAGGCTCTCAAGGAGGAGCTGATCTTCATGAAGAATCACGAGGAGGAAGTAAATGGTCTACAAAACCAGATTGCCAACTCTGAGTTGACTGTGGAGTTGGCTGCCCTCAAATCTCAGGACCTCAGCAAGAACATGGTGGTCATCCAGGCCCAATATGATGAGCTGGCTTGGAAGAGCCGAGAGGAGCTAGACAAGTACTGGTCCCAACAGATTGAGGAGAGCACCACAGTGGTTACCTTGCAGACTGCTGAGATAGGAGCAGCTGAGATAATATGGACCTGAGACATACAGTCCAGTCCTTGGAGATTGACCTGAACTCAATGAGAAATCTGAAGGCCAGCTTGGAAAACAACCTGTGGGAGGTAGAGACCCGCTATGCCATGCAGACAGAGCAGCTCAACAGGATCCTAATGCACCTGGAATCAGAGCTGGCCCAGGAGTAGGAGGCCCTGATGAACATCAAGGTCACACTGGAGGCTGAGAGTGCCACCTACTGCTGCCTGCAAGAAGGAGGTGTGAACTTTAATCATAATGATGCCCTGGACAGCAGCACTGCATGCAACCCATCCAAAAGACCATCACCCGCAAGATTGTGGACACCAAAGTCCTGAGGTGGTAAAGGCAGCAGAAGTGTGGCACCCCTTGGGCAGGAGGCCAAAAAGAAGTTCAGAGATCATTGAGCATTAAAAAAAGAAGTTAGACTTTTATGGTATTAGCCTTACACACACACACACACACACACACACACACACACACACACACACACACACACAATTTGAGCAGCTTTGGTCATCCAGCCCAATACTTAGCACATTATAACATAAGATCTCTCTC